TGGCTCCAGCAACTTTCAACAAACTGGGGACAAACCTGTATCTTTAAACATCAGATGACTGCAGACTGATGAATAAAGAAAAAAAATCTTGCCTTCAGCTTAGTTATGACAGTCATCTTGAACTATATCTCCTTCCAACAGATCAGCCTTCTAAATGTTGTAGTACGTTCATGATGGGCTGAAACTATGCTATGACCTTCTGCTGGAAAAAACAAGTCTCTTACAAAAGAGGCTGACATCTCTTAGGGGTTGGAAAAGTGACATTTTTAAAGGTGACACATGGTCTGAATGCATCCCTGCCCACCCAGCAACCCCCAGCCAAGGCATAAGCAATGCTTCACTCTCCCGTTCAGTCCTGAACAGATCACAGCCTGTCCTCTGTAGTGGTAAATCTGCACCTTCTTCTGTCCCCATCAAGCCTCAACACAGGGATTCTTTGGACTGGCCTCTCTTACGTGTTCCTCCAGCTGCCCCATGGCAGCCCTGCCCTGGCTTCATTCATTCTTACTCCTCTCTCTTTCTCTGGCTATCTTTTATAGATCAGGAGTTGATGAAGTCCCTGACAGATTTCAGCACTTACAGTAGATTCATTCTATTTTAATACCTAGTATTCTCCTGAGGCATTTGCTTTCAAAGCAATTAGACATCTGTCAGCACCTTTGGTAGATTTCAAGCTTTCATATCAGTATCCTAAGGTGGAAATAGCATTCCAGTTGAAAAATCATAGCTTGGTCTTAAGGTTGGAGTTTTTCAGTGAGTAAATCTTCTTTAAGCTGATGAATGCAGCTGCTGCCTTGACAATTTGTGAGTTTATTTCCTTCTGGATATCCCCACTGGCTTGCATGTTACTGCCAAAGAATGTGAATGGAGGTATTTTTGTATTCCTTTTGCCTTCTCAAGCAGCGTTTGAACTGGGAGTTACGAGGGCTCTCATTAGGTTCACTTTTTATAACTGTTCATTAACCCCCTCTTTTTTACAGTGCTGAACAGTCCTTTGATCTTTGCACGTGGGTGGGTTTCCAATGTACAATGGCTATATTGTCAGTTTAGTGCATTATGGTAACACTACATGAATTCTGCGTATGCATTTTTCTGAATAGTGATATCCCTGGCGATGTCTGGTGGAAGGAAAAAACCCACTTCTTTGTTTGGCACCAGCGTCTCTGTTCAACCACTAGCCCAAGTCTCCAGCTTCCCAGGGTAGACAAGTTGCTTGTGGGCTTTCTTTACTCCATCATGGCATAAAAATTTGTGTTTCTTGAGAGTTACATCAATGATTGTAAAGGCACTTCCCATTTTCAGAGTATGTTTGCTGATAGCAGTGTAAGAACTCAATATTTGCCAAAAAAAAGTCCAGTGTCCATCAACAGTATTTTCAATACGATCAGCGCAGTTTCGCTGTGCAGCGCTGCAGCCTCCCAGTGTTCTGCACAGTGTCCCAGCCGTACAGAAACTGGATCAGGTGCTGGGCTGTAACGGTGCTTTTGCCCCTGCAGCCCCAGCCACGCTCTGCCACGAGCGATGCGCTCTCTCTGGCAGCTGTTGGCTGCCTGCTGTTTCCTCTATTTGCAGGAAGGCCACAGCACCTTTCCTCACTCAAACTCCTCATAGCCTGTATCCAAGCCTGAGGTCCTGTATCAGAGGGAACAGAGTGAATCTGGCCCTGAAAATTAGCCTGTAGATAGGCTTACTTGCTCCATAAATTTTTGTGAACAGAGAGACTGTAGCAATGCCTTTAGCTATCCAGAGCAGGAGGGAAGGTATTTATGGGAATTTACTGTTCAGTTGGAGTTTGATTTTTATGCCTCTTTTAATGATGTCCTCTCCTCATAGTGCAGCATGAGTAACAATTCCCCCTTTGTATGTATTTTGTATCTATTCCTATTTCCTATTGAAATTCCTAGGAAAGAGACTATCCAAGTACAGAGTTGAAAATTTTGTCTTAAAATAAGCCAGATGTCCAACCTTCCTTTAGCTGCCAAGCCCAAAAGAGTTCAAGAAAGATGTTAAAATCTGTCTTCCTGGCTGTGAAAAAGTAATTGCATAGCATAGGTGATGATCCCAGTCTCCCAGGAGAAGGAATAAAACTGCTTTGGGCAAAAACTCTGCTGTTATTTGTCTAAGGATTGGAGTTGGCAGTGTCTGTGGAAAAAGTTTCATTGCTTGCCCTCCTTGCTGGTTAACAAATACAGAGACAGGAACACAGACAAAGGTAGGTGAGTGTTTGTATACTGGTATCTGAAAACCTTATTCACCTTATGAGAAAAATGCTTTTGGCTTTTTTCTTTCCTTTTTTTTTTTTTTTTTTTTTAAATTGTTTCCCCTCTGTTCAGAGCATTCGTAAGCACAGGGAGTGCTTAAAAGCCAGAGACAGAGGTTTCAGACTCACTGTATTACAGTCACATGAAGGAACCCCACAGTCTGAATGGTTATTTTATGCCTGTGGGATAACAGCTATTCTGTTGGTAAAATGCAGGTACGATTCACTCCCCTTGCAAAGAGTTTGGTGAGGATTAATATTAGTAAAGTGCTCTGAAGACTGAAAGTGCCATTGAAATCCTGAGGATTAGAGGTTGCGTATGACCAGTGAAGTGGAAGGGCCTAATAGTTGCATTTATCAGGATAAAAATTAACTTTAAATCCAAATGTAATGGCCATGCCTGCCTGGCTTCCAGACTGGTGGAAGTCACTGGGGACACAGTGTGAGGGAAGAGCAGAGGGACACCCAAGACCAATGGAGTGCCCACATCTCACTGCAGAAGCTCAAGTTATGAACGGGGTTTAAATAAAGGACTCTAAAAATTGCTTTTTGGAATAGCTCACTGTAGGGCATACAAGAGAAGGGTTTGTTCAGCATAGTCCTAAATACCATAGCCATTGTTGGGGTATTAAGAGACAGTCACCAAATTTTGATGTAGAGTCAACATCTGATAATCTAAGTGCAAAAAATCTGTCGTAACATAGTCTATTAACCCTAAATTGAAATAAGGAGGATGTAAAGGGAAAAAAAATACCAAGTATTTATTTTAAAAAAAAGAAGTTCCAAAATACATGGGAAATTTTAATAGAGCATGACTGTTACCTTCAGAATACAATCGTCAGGTCCTGGCAGGGGCTCCAGAGCTGGGAACACAGAGGTAAGCTGCACACCAGGACGGCTTAGTGGCAAAGTCCAGAGAAATCTGAGGCATTGTTCTGAATGGAGAAGTTCAGTCCTAGAGAAAGGCACTGGGAGAAGGAACAGGAATAACGATCAGGTGGAATATAGGAGGGAAATTAAGAGACAAGCAAATATTAATTTGGTGAGTACACAAGATACAAGAAACCTGATTGATAACAGTCATTATTGTGAGTGACTAAAGAAGAAAATTAGATAAAGAATCTTTGTTATTTTTGACAATAGGCTTCACTGATCCTACAACTCCTCCTACCTAAAAATAAAGAGTTCACATTGTGCAAATGTATTTCTGCACTGCGCTGTCTGAAGCAGGACACCATCAGCTCTGTTTTCCATGGTCCTGTTCATCTGAGGCCATTTGTTATCATGCCTTTCAGTGATTCTCACAGGAAGGAAAAGCTCCTTGTGCTCCAGCCCAGAACAAAGCTGTACTTCTTGTATCAGGTGATCTTTGAGAAGCAGCAGGGGTTTTTTTGGTCATACTTCCAGAACAAAATGACCACAGCTTTGCTGTGCTCTCCCTTACAGATGGGAGAGGTGGAGGTCTGCGTGCATCCATGAGTTCTTTTGCCCCTGGTCCTAGTCTTGCAAGCATCCACACTGCATACACATCCTTCATAGCTGGACTTCAGTCCAGCCACAGTGGTGCTCATCTTTTGAGCCTCTTCAGTGTCTGGCATGCCTTTTTTAAGAGGTACCAATAGTGTTTTTCAGGGAGAGAGCTCTGCTGCCCTGGCTTTGCTCAGAAACACCAGAGGACAGAAATCATTATTTTTTTTTACATCATCCTAATCATATCTCCTGAGTTTTCCTCCACCTTCTCTCCCCACATGCAGCTTGTGTGTGGCTTTAGCAGAAATAGGAATCTTACCAAAGTCCTGCAGCCCATTGTTTCTTTATTTTAAATGCAAAGTTCTTTTATTAACTCCAGCTGGTGCACCTCACTGTGCTCACTGTGTTTGCTTTATTAAAATTGAACAGAGTGCAAGTAGGACATTGTAAATCACAAGTGACTGGGCCAGAGGAAGAGGGAGGGAGAGGTAGGGACTCCAATTGTATGACAACAGAGAGAGCATAGGAACAGGCTGGGCCTCCTGGCTAATGGAAGCCAAAACTCGTGGAGTACAATTTGCGATTGCTCCCAGGAGGGCAGACAAGTGCCAGACGGTTAGCAAGGACAGAGGAGAGTGAATATTTGAGTACCTGATGTGTTCTCCCGTACACTGGAACAGAGCTTCTCTAGAGGTCTGGGCATACAGTAGGAGCTGCCTGCCTCTGCTGTAATCCTTGTTTTTATCTTGTATCAGCACCTGGCAGTGCTCATCTCGTCTGTGGAAGAAGCCTTGCTAGAACATCTAAGTCTTGGAGAGAGCCTTTAAACCAGTAGCACTGGGTGCCTCATGGACAGAGGGAGGTGGAAGCTGCTCGTCCATAATTAAACAGGATACGTTTTCCAGCTTTGCCTCTTTGTGGCTGGTGGAGGGAATTGCATCTCTGCCTGCTTGATCCTCATGGGCATCCACAGGGACAGTCAGCGGTGTAGGTGGACTCAGAGCGAGTCTAGACAGAAAGATAACAGCATCCTTCCCTGTGCCAGAACAGATCCTCTACTCAAAGCAGTGCCTGAAGCTGTGAAATCACCATGGACAAATGCAAGAGCTGTATGAAGGGTCCCTGCCTCTGTTGTTGAGTCCTCAGCACCAGAGCGTGCCGCCGGTCTGCTGCACGCTGCAGCTCTGGCAGTGGTGTTTCTGGTGTCTGTGTGTATGGGATTTTGAAGCTACTCTGCTTGGACCATATCTCAGTGTCTTCTCTCCTCCAGTGCTCCTCAACCTGTGGGAAGGGTCTCCAGTCACGCGTGGTCCAGTGTATGCACAAAGTCACCGGGCGCCACGGCAATGAGTGCCCTGTCCTGTCCAAGCCAGCGGCCTACAGGCAGTGTCACCAAGAGGTCTGCAATGAGAAGATAAACGTCAACACAATTACCTCGCCCAGACTTGGTGAGTGAGGGGCGCTGGGGCGGGGGGAAATGCCATCCGCCAAGGACCAGCCAAAGCCCAGGGTCCCAATGTGCCCAGTGTGATAAAAGTGGGGCCTCAGATGATTGTCCAGGGCCAGAAATTAGGAGAGAGCCCCCCAGTCAGACTCTATAGACTACAGGTCTAGTGCGGATAGATCCTCTTTTATCCATCAATCCCTGCGTCAGACTTAGCCCAAGCTGGAGCGCTCGGCAGTGGGTAGACCTGACAGACTACCAGGAGCTCACAAGTGGTGGGTGGGTGATTGATCACAGAGGTGAGGGAGCTGACAGGCATATCTTTGTCTGTCACAAACACCTTCACACCCTGCTTTCACTGTGGTGAGTGTAAAGTATGATAATTCATTCATCTGTGCTCCGCAAAAAGTACATGACCTTGACAAGTAAGAGCATCACTGTTTTTTTTTTCCCTTTGCATTTGCTGCCACAAGAATGTGGTTTGATGAATTCATTTGCCCAGGGAGGCAGGAGAGCATTCAGCCTCTTTCTGGGAACCCTTTGATTTTCTGTCACTGTCCTTCTCACCCTCCCTGCGTCCCCTGTGTACCTGGCTGAGATAAGAATATGGTGATAAGCCTTCTGTTTCCCAAAACACCGTAACACTGTATTTAAGAAATAGCTCTAGTTAAGAATGCTTCTGTTAACATAAAATTATGGGAATCCATGATTTTCGACGTCACATTTGCTCAGTTTTTAAGGGGATAAAAATATATTTTTCCAAACTTCAGCCCTGTGTGTACAGCCACAGCTCCAAGAACTAAGCTGGTTTCTTTACATTTCACACATCATCACCAGTAAGACGAAGCTGAACTAAGCCATTGGCTACACTGACACAGCCGCATCGGTGCCTCCCATTACTTCTCAGTACAAGAGGCCGAGTTGTAAACAACGCTGCTGAGAGCTTACCAGAAAGAACAGCCAGCCTCCACCCTCTCAGCAGAGCTAGTCTTGTAGCTGAGAAGCCTCTAAAACACTTGAAAAGGCAGAGATGTGAAGTAACAGAGAACTATTTTCTAATAGCACTGTCCAGTATTAAATAACACTTAAACTAGGACTGGACTTGAAGCTCCAGAACTAAAATTTGTTTCCCAAAAGTTGAACAGATGTTTAAAAGAGTATGGGAAATTTTATTCTTGCAAATGCAGTAATATTGTGGAGCTACTAACCTCGTGTTTAAGAACATAGGAGGGTGCTTCCCAGATATTTTAGCACTAAGAACATAGTGAAAGGAAAACATTTTATTTGAGAAGTAAGCCCTTGATACACTGATGAGACAAGAAAACCATCCTAATTCATGTTTTAGGACAAAGCACTAAAAAACTCACGTGTTTAGAAGACTGAGGCTCAAGTCCCTGTTGAAAGTAATCTGCAAGTAATTTGGGATGCTTTTGTTTCTAAACTGGGCTTGGAATCACCATGGCCAGAAACAACGATATTTTGTATTAGCAGAAAGATGTATCATTGAGTGTTTTGCTTTTCCTTCTTAGAAACAAATTCTCATTGGATTATCTTTAAACAAAATATTCTGTTTTCTGCAATGGAAACCTCACCAAAAAAATTATACAGAAAAAAACCCCAGTAGTCTACAAAACCCATGCTGCCTTGTACCCACTCCAGAATGTTTTTAATCCTGGGTAATGTTTTCAGAGTTATGTAAGTATGAAGTTCACCTTAGCTGACTTTTACATCTGTGTCCACTGTCCCTCGGTGGAGACCTATTCAGAGGGGGTTTATTCTGTCCCTCAGGCTCCTGACACGTGTTGCTTCCTGGTCATGCTTCGTGTCTTACTTCACAACCTATGAGGGACCTTGGACCTCTAAAATATTAGAGTCTGAGCCTTTTTTGTGGCTTAGTGTCTTTCTCTTACGTAAATTTCTCATCTCAGATTCATAAGATGTTCTTGCAAGATGTGTATTTGTTCAGCTACATCACGTTTTCTGAACAGTGGCATAGCTCGCGGGGAGTGCCGCAGATCTAACCCCCTCGAAAAGCCCCTCTACTGCTGGCAGGCTCAGAAATAGCTCTGCTCTCCCCCCGTTTTGGATAGTCACTTCCACTCGAATGTTTTTCTCGCAATCAGTTCGTGGTTTTTTTTTTAATTGGCTTCATGTTCCTTTTTTTCTGGGACACGTGCAACTTTATTTCGTCAGATTCCATCAAACTTTTGCTTCATGTCCAACTGAAGGAAGCTTCAGTGATAAACATTCCTACCAGCTTTGCTGCCATCGTTTTCTCGTGCTTGGCACTGAGACTCACAGCTGAATACAGGATAAGAGCCTTTCCTGGTTTCATCTGGCAGAGATGAGGAACAAGGGACTCAAGATGCTGCTGGCTCTAATTTGGTCATTTTTTCCCAACCTCAGAGGCCATAATATTAATTTAAAATATTTTCCAATTTTCACAGCATCTGTAAAAATGCTACATACATTTTATAAATCATATACCATAAAAAGCACTATGTGTGTGCATTTTTATCAAGTGTACAGTTTTGCCACCATTACTTTTTTATAAAAGCAAGAGTGACCGTTAGTGATATTGTCAACCGACTCAGCAACAGTGTCCTCATGCTGCTTTCCCTCCTGCACAAACCCTTTGGCAGTCTGAGGGAGTTTCTGCCATCCATTCCCCCTTCCCAACAGCTAATTGTAGCTTTTGCTACACGAAGAAGTACTATTTTTACTCCCTATTAATTTAGCTTTACACCCATCAAACTGGGTTTGGTTGTGCTCCTCTGTAAAAACGTTTTCCACCGAGAGGATGATGGCCACCCTGAAAGCACGCCTTAGCAAAGCACTCTCCCTGGGAGCGCGCAGCTTCCCATGGGTTTCTGTGCCATGTCCGTGTGCTTAAATCCAGGCTGATGTGTTAGACATTTTATTCATCTTGTCACTGAGACAAAACAGGTTCAATGTGAGGAGGCTTGTGCTCCCCACTCGTGTCCAGCTACACCCTTGCAGTAAGCACTTCAAGAGGCTGATATTTCGGTAGAGAGAACATCATCTGCTCTCCAGTGCTGACAGCGAGATTGGCCCTTTCTTCCTTCATGTGCAGAGATTTTGATCGCACCTGCAATGCTGTTCTCTGGCTAATCTGCTAGTTTCTCCTTTCTTTTCTTGTCCCAAGCTGCTCTCACGTACAAGTGCACAGGCGACCAGTGGACAGTGTACTGCCGGGTGATCCGGGAGAAGAATCTGTGCCAAGACATGCGGTGGTATCAGCGCTGTTGCCAGACTTGCAGAGACTTTTATGCAAACAAGATGCAGCAGAAGAGTTAATGAACCTGTGCTACTTCTTAGGGTGTTACAGCTATTTGTATGTAAATCACGGACTAGTAGGTCTGAGTACTGGAACTTCATGAGTTGCTACAATGTGGTGGATTCCAAAGCATACCTAATAAGACTTGAAACTAATTCTACAGACTGGATACCAAAGTAATCCACTCATCCACCTTAAAAAAACAAACAGAAAGAGTCATCTCAAGGAGCCAATCATTTTATTGTATTTTGACATCCTTACATTTTTCATTAATGCTTTTTACTTTAATATATTAAATCACCAGCCACTGGATGGCTTGCTACCATTAAAGAAAAGGACAAGAGTTGCAAAGTGATTACATTGACTAAGGTTATGGGTACCTCCATGGAGGAAGGCCTCTGGCAAAATAATTCAGCAAAGGCAGAGACATTACTTAATCTTTTAATCTTGGCTTTCATCTAATGTTTTCAATTCCCAACAGTTATCCCACTATGGAGTGGGCTTGGAGGGACACACACAAATGAAAGGCTTAATTTAAAGAGAGGATTTGCTGTAAAAGCTTGTGAAAACTGATAGCAGAGGATGGACATCTCTGAAATTCCTGCAGAAAACTCAGTACAATTATGTCCAACATTTCAAGTCATATTTTTTTAGAGCAACTAATAGGGACTGTTCTTCTTTCTAATTTTAAAAAAGACTCCTCTCTCTCTTTTCCCCAGAATAATACTGTTTCTTTTATGGAACCTAATTTTTCTCTGAGCTTAATGATATGGAAGCTTATTAACAGCAGTAGATAATTATTTTTAAGCAAGAACCATTTCCATGAGATAGGAGAAGCCAGAAATCATTTCATCCAGTAGCGCTCACTGAGGGATTGCTTGGCCTCATCTCTCTTCAGTTTTTCAAAGTCAATCAGATAATGAGACAGAATGGGGTTTTTTAAGAGGACCATGAAACTGGATAGGGTTGGTACAGAAACAGGATTTGGAACAACCTTTGTGTGAAGCATGGAGTGGAGAGCACAAGAAGCGTTTCCTGTCTCTTGGCTCTTGCATACATCTGAGGTTATGTAGCCTTTTGAGTCAAAAGCAGTCAGGGATACAAGATGCTCAAGGTGTAATCTTGAGCTTGTTGAAGCCGTAAGGCTAACACCTCCCCTGCCGTCAGTAAGGGTTAGGATTTTACTCACTGTGTTTTAGTGTTTCCTGTCTCACTTTTGTGGTGCTATCAGGTTTGGTGCTATCAGATGGGTGCTATCACAGCACTTGGCAAGTGCTGCACAGACGATACTCTCTTCCACGTCTCTGCACTTTAAAACAAACTCCTCTCTGAGATGTGAGACTTGAAACAAGAGCTCTACCCAGGGCAGAGTTTGTCCCCTCTGTTAGTCCTACAGATCGATGTCTCTGTCGTACCTTGCTCCAGCATGTATCATTTCCCTTGCCAGGGTTCAAGGCCAGTTGTGCAGTGGTTAAGTTACAGCCCACTCTTCAGGATACAGCCATTTGGATGAATTGCAGCTTTGTACTCGCTCTAGAATTGTGTGTTACTCTTTTATTCTTTGGAGATGAGTGCAGAACTAAGCCCAGCTATTACCCCCAGTCCCTGGGCCAGTCTGGGTTGCAGCTCACATCTGTCCTCAAGTTGTCTTTGTTGCTGTTGTCTCTTTTTTTCAATGCAAGGAGGGATAAAAACTCTTAGTACCTAGCATATCTTTAAAGCAACTTTTTCTTCTTTATTACAATCCTTGCAATATCCAGGACCTCACTGGAATAACTCATTAAGGGCTAAATTTTTCAAGCACAAGGAGCTAAAGTTAATCGACAGACTAATAGTGTGTGGGCTTCACGTTCGCATCTGTGCTTAGTAGTGCAAATGAGTGTGTGTGCACACCAGGGCTGGCCTGTATGCACAAAGGCACGTTTGCACACAATTTTTCCTCAAGTGCCTGTCTCAAACAGATCTGCTTTCCAATGCCCCAGATGATTTTCTCTACCAGGGAAATGATTCCAACTTTGTTTTTTGTTACACTGGATGTTCTTTCTGGCATCTTACAGTCAGGATCAGACCTCCTCCTTCTCTTATTCCCACCCTGTAGCCCAAATGCAGAGGTTGTGTCACTACTTAGCAAAGAATCAGTGGAAAATGTTGCTGGCAGGGGTGATAGGGAGGATTTAAGCAATACCATAGTGATGTTCAGTTAGGCAAATTAATAGGTAGATGAACTGCTAATGAGAAAGTTCCAAGAGATCAGACAAAGCCCAGAGAACCTGATTTATATTGGTAATTCAGTGGTAGCTTTCCCCCTTGCCTGCTGCCATACCCCGTAGTACCGCAGCCCTGCCTGTGCAGCAGCACTCTAACTGTCCTTGCTGCCTGCCACCACAGCCACCTCACAGCCGTTTGGGTCCCCTTTAATCCTTCCTTGGTTTGGAGTTTGATGGTTTCCTTTTAATGGGCGACATTTGCCCATGAAGTGGCCTGGCCCGATGAAACGCCACCCTCTTGCTGATCATTTCTGGCATCACTCATACTCACGTTGAAGGATCTGCCCCCAGGCTTCTCTGTTCTCTTGGAAGAACAGTGTGTGCATTTATTGCTAATGGGAATCAAAGGTGCTTTTAAATAGCAGGGGCCACTTTTCCTTCCGTCTGTCACCCTCTCTGGGCAAAAGCTGGGCTCCTAGAAAGGTGCACAGGAGAGGAAGGATTTTAATTCTTATGTTTTTCACTAATAATTCACTACTAGCCTCTGTCCAGAACAGGATACTAGGCTAGTTAGACCTGTGGCCTGTCCTGGTGTACTAGGTCCTGCACTTCAAAGGACATTTGGGTCCAGGTTCTGGGTCCTACCTAAGGAAACATGAATTTACAAGGAATTCTTTTGAATGTCTGAGCACTGAAAAAACCACCTCACTTGCTCTCACAGCCCACAGATTAGTGTGCATCAACCTTTTTTTTTTTAATAATCAGAAACCAACGTTAATTAAAGACTGATGGCACAACACAGCTCCATTTTATTACATTCTCTTACTTCATATGGTGACAACCTTGCCATTCTATAATAGCCAGAAAAATAATAATAATTAAAAAAATGAATTCTGTTCAATACTCCTGCACTTCTGTTTTGTATCATTTTATAGGAGCTTTACTATGAATTTACAGCTATGCTCTGCCCTCAGTTACTACATACTGGTGAAAAGAAAGCTGTTTGTTTCCGTGTATCTATGACAATACTTTCTTTAGTTGTTCATAAGAGATTGACGGTCTTTTGATTACAGTGGTGGTATTTCCATATTGTAAACAATACTCTGTACTGTTACTAAAGTACTGTACATTTCTAGTTGCACAATTGTGTTATTGAGTGTAGATTCTCACTATCTCATGTATGGTGCTATTTTTTTGTTGGTGGAAAAGAATCTTAGCAGTCGATTATTGCTTGATATTTTATTATAATACAGGGATATATTCTCCATGGCAATAATATCATTTAAGTTTTTCATTACAGAGTGAAATGTATATATTTTTCCATTAGCTAATTTGCATATGTACTGTATCCATGGTAATTTTCTTTTTGGTGCTGGTTATAAATAGAAAAGATAAAAACAGTCAAACTGAATGGAACCAGTTGTAAACGAAAACCAAAAAAAAAGAAAAGAGGATCATTCCATTTTGAAAAAAAAAAATATGAGTATGTTGAATAATAAATTTATTTTTTCCATAACAACTTTAATAAGGTTTCTGAACTTGAAAAAAAAAGTACAAAGCAAACCAAATAGCTAACATGAAAATTAAGAGAAAAGAGTGAAGCTGGAAGTAGTACATTATGCATCTGTCTAATACTGGACTGAGACTGGGATTCATTTAAGTCTAGGCCAACTGTTTGATAGCTGTGGTAGGTATAAAAAGGTCATTTGTCACTAAAATTCTGGCATCTCAGAGTTCCCAGTGTGCTAACAAATTAAGAAATGATGGGTCTTGTCCCAGTCGGGTTGCAAAATAAAGCACAGGGAGCGTTAATACCTGATTGATGCCTTGCAAGGTCTGTGGTCAGTGACACCACAGTAGAAAATGCCTGTCTGGAAAATGTGAGCCAGGCTGCGTTCGGGGTATCGCTGAGCAGGCTGCAGAGGAGCTAGGGCTTATATACAGGGGGAAAGACATTTTGCAAGTGCTTTTTGAGAAAGGTTGCTTTCAATGTATCTTGGAGCTGAGCTGAAGTGGCAGCTTGCTGAATGTTTAATGGTAGCTGCTCCACAGGCACAACCTGGTAATGAAGGCTACTGAGCATGTGGAAATTTATTTTGGAGCAAAATTATCCCATCCATGGGAAAGGTATCTACATAACCTAGCTGCACACTTCCCTGGTGTGAAATAAACAGAATTACTTTGGAGCCAAGTGTTTTGGATGTCTTTGTTGTAGGCACTAGCCAGAATGTTTGTCCTATTTAATTCCCCCTTCAGCATGGTGAAGATGTTTTTTGCAGGCAGCTGCACACAGATATGCCTGTAGGATCCGCTCCCATCCCGTCTTACCAAGATGCCATCATCCGTATCCCATTCCAGCTCGGTTCTTGTTAAAAGGACACTTCCTGGAGATGGGAGCAGCACCTTTCTAAAGCAGCCTTGAAAACAAACCGAGGTGTGGTTGGTGTGTCAGTCCTCCTCCCAAAATGGTTTCCAGAAGTGCAGTTTATACTTAGATTAAAAATAGAGTTCATTTAATGATCTCAGACTGGCTTCTTGGTAATGGCACAACACTGATAGGCTTCCTCATTTTCAGAGGTAGCCTTAGGAGATACCGGCCTAGCTGCCATCATACGTACGACTGTTAACGGCAGCAAAATTGTAGAAACTCTATCCAAGTGTTGCTGTATATTAACACATCATCGTGTTTGTGTATTGCCTGGAGTCAACATATGATTGCAATTGTTGACCTGTTTAAACAATAAAACATAGCTGTAAGCCTTTGGAAGCCAAAAGGCTTTACATTAAGCTGGGATATGGCAATGGGTGGGAGGGGTGTAAGGAATGCTGTCATACATTTGGCTTGAAATTTTCCTGGCATGTGCCAATATCTCTTCTATAAATCCAGTAGGCTTATAGACTTAGTTTGCCTATTCTGTATTTTTTTTTTTTGTTTGCTGTTTTTCCCTTATTCCTAATCCCTGTCTTCTAACCAAGAAATCAGACGATTTGAGTAGCAATTTGCTGTTTTTCCCTTATTCCTAATCCCCGTCTTCTAACCAAGAAATCAGACGATTTGAAGACATTGTCCTTCCCTGCGATGTCTGTTGTCTTTTTAAGACACCTCAGCCAAGTTCA